GATTTCTAAATCCCGTAAAACAGCGCTCTTTAAAAATCTCTTCAAAAGGGCAGGGGAGGTGAGCAGGAGGGGAATCTGCACATCTCGGTCGCCCGCCATCGTGAAGGGGTCAGTCATGTCCCAGCCGAGCCGTTTCAGGGAAAGGTACATGGCCCCGATGGGGCCCTTGCAAGATCTCCAGGTTCGCGGGGGACGGGCCCAGACCGCGGACCAAGCTTCTCGAATTTCTTGCCAACTGAGCGACCATGGAGCCTTCGCCTGTAGCAGCCACAACTCCTTGCAGCACCGAATGATGGGTGCAATAGATCCGTACCAGGCAGGGTCTTTTTCCAGGCGGGTGAGGATCGTGAGCGAGCGTCCCCCACAATTAGGCTTCATGGTGGAAGCAGCCAGCCTACGGATCTTGAGCACCTCACCCTCGGACATGCCGTGGACCTCAGCCCCGAACTGAGCGCCTGCAAGCGGCCCTGAGACAAACACCTTAGTTACACGAGAGCCCAGCGTTCCACGCTGGCGGACTAAGCGGCGGGTCCTACGCACCGCAGCATTCATTCTGGTCTTCGCCTTAGCATTTCTCCCCCTCACCCCCCTGGACGTTCCAGGAGTGAAGTCAATGCCAAGGTTAACCGTAGTTTCCCTGTGAGGCCCCACGAGATCCCCCAAGACTTGGGAGAGCCTACAAGAGATGAACTTAGAAGACGAGACCATGGCAATCTTGTCCAAAGAAATCTGAGCACGCATCATGACCGTGATGGCGTGTTGCAGGGTGGAAGCTCCGTCCTGCAGGCTGGTGACGATCTGTTCGGCCGTGCCGACAGCGTTGAGGCCAGAATCGTCGATGTAGACATCGAGGGCAGTGCTCGGTCCCAGGACCACAGAGTCGAAAGACTCGAGCCCGAAAACCCTGATCATCGTCGTAGCGATCGAGCAACCCGCGATCACCCCATGATCGCCAAACACAGGGGGAGCCACGACCCCGCACAAAACCATATAACGAGCCGATCGGTATCCAGCCAGACAGACCGCCATCAGCACAGGAGGAAAATTAAGCCTCTGGCCGCGTAACTCCAACAGGGCCAAAGGGATCTGCTCGTAGCATTTCAGCATATCGTAAAAGATGGCGCCCGCATGCTGGCCTGAAGCCGTGCTGCGCTCAGCCGTGACCGACTGGCGCCAGACCACGTCTGATGCCGACCTATGCTTCCCCGCGGCCCAGTAAGGCCTGTCGTTGGCTTCCTCCCAGGCCACAGCGTAGGGCCTCCTAATGCGGCCCCAAATGCGGAAAGGGCTCGAAAAAACACCGATGGGACGGAACCCAGGGACCGACTTCGGGATCATGGCCATGATCAAGGCCCGAAGCTGGCGGGGAAGCATTCCTGCCGACTCGACGATCAAGAAAATCCTCCCTAGGCACTCCAGGGACGCGTCGGAGGAGAAACTGATAGTGCCGAAGGTGAAAGCCGTCCAAGCCGACAGCCGAGCGCCTTGAGTATGAACGCGAGGCCGTGCGAAACTCATCCACTGTGATCTGCGGCAGAGGCTCGAGCTTGCAGCACCGAAGCCGTGGGGGGGTATCCACTGCCCTCCACAACTTGCCAAATCTGTCACTCTCTTGCTTCAAGAGGGCCTGAGGGTCGCTGACTAGGGATCCAAACCGACTCAAGGTGGAGGTAGGCCTCCAAGCCGCGGGGCCCTTGGAAACCTGGTGAGCCCTACGGGCACCCTGGTTGCTTCCGTCCAGGAGCCAGGAGGCCCAATCGGACCTGGCGATTTTGGAAAATTCCTCGGAACACTTCTTGGTGGCCTCTTGGAGCTGGGAATGCACCTCGTCCAGGCAGGCCTTACACTCGTCGGGGTCCACGCCCCACAAGCAGGCCAAAGAGGATGCTGCGGCGTGCGCAGCGGCGTAGCTACCTTGGTGTTCCGCCACAGAAGCAGGGGGCGAAGCCAGGGCGGCCTGTACCTTAGCAAAATCCGAAGGATGCCTGTCGGGGCCCGACAGCACCAGACGATAAAATATCAAGAAGTTGGACCAAAGCCATCTCATGCTATGCAGCACGGGGTAACGGACCGCGCCGTGGTCTCGACCCAGAACGGGCCTCCACCACATCACGACTCCTTTGCCCCGTGCTCCGAAGTATGGGATGGTTGCTCCCATCACGTTACACAGTTCTCTCTCGGCCGTGTTGGCCCATTGCTTGTAGGCGGCGTCAAGAAGAGAGTCCAACATGTCGACTTCCCCCCTCTGGGCCCTAAGTAGGGCCTTGTCCAAAAGGGCCGAGAATTTACCGTAACACGGGGGCTCGGCTCGGGCGAAGGACCGACCGGGGGATCCACGGCGATCGGGGGGGGCTTGCGAAACGAGAGGACGTGAAGATTGGCAATTCCGACGTGGAATTGGATCCGAACGGGCAGGTGGGGTTGGAACGCGCCCCCATCAACATTCTTAGAGGCGGAGCTGACTGCCTTCGCGAGGCCGCCCGACAGAACGAAGAAGTCA